TGTCAACATCTATATATGTTACTAATTCTTTTAAATGTTGAAGCCAATTTTAGTATCCATATTCAGTGAACCACATTTCACTTATGTTTCGTGACAAACTTGAACTTGTCAATGAATCCTTTCCTCGCTGACTAAGTGTTTGGATATTTACTACTGTATCAGTAGTAAACTTTGTTGTTTGCCAGATTATTATTAGCACATTATTTTCATAGATTATTCTTATTCAAGAGCTCAATTAATTGCTCAAACCTTTAATATCACATTAAATGGGACTTATTGGAGTTCATAGTCTGTTTTATGAATGATCTTTAACGATCTAATGGTAAATTTATTGTGTTAAGTGTGTAGTAGATTTTCTGCTTATCTGCTTGCTTGCTCTAAGTTTTTGTTGGATTTTATAGTTTCTGGATTTGAAAGAGGAAAAATAAGTTCTTGATGTCTAAAACAATCCCAGATTTTTTTGAGTTCTAAGTCTTTGACAAACCAACTCAGTCTAGGTACGCAAACAGTTATAGTTTGGAGGCTTAATCTCAATAAATCTATTGCATGATGTTTACCCTTCTATTTGACTTGAATTACATTTTTCCTCCATCCACTAAACTTGAATGTTTTGACTTCTAATGCTTGCAGATCCAAAATTGTATTATAAATGTTATTATTGTATTTTTCAGATGAAGTTTTGCCAAGGAATGCAATGTGCTTTTATCAATTTATTACACCTCGTGTAGCCTCGAAGTTTTGGAGATAAACATGTACCATACAAGATTAACTAATGCTATCTTGTTGGCTTTTATTTGTGTTAAAACATCTTTTTGACAATCTGTTCTGTGTAAATTCGGAGTTTAAGTCCACCGATTGGGGTTATTCATGCATTACGACTACTCAAAACGTCACAAATTTTATTGAATGCTTTTCATTTTTTTGTAATTTGTTGTATTGGAAATTTGTAGACAATGTATCCATCTGAAGTGGGCTATCATTGAGGAACAGCATCAGTTGGTTCTCAAAAACTTCTGCAACCTTATTATAGCAGGCAATACTTCTCTTCATATTTGCTTAATAGAGGTATGGCAAAATGCTCATGTCCATAATAATTATCACATGTTTTGCTATTTTTTCTCCAAAAAATATATATTAGATTAGTAAAGAAAGCAAACATTCTTAGCATTCAAATTACATTGTTTAACTTTCTGGTCTTTTCTTCTATTATTAAGTGAATTCTAGAAGATTAATAGCAATTGATATACTCTAAATCCTCCCCAAAATTCATGCTCTTTGCTGATAGATAATAGTGGTGTAGTGCCCTTTGAAGCTACCCTTTCATCTACCAAGAAATGATTTCACAAAATGGACAAATTATCTGTTACCTCCATAAAAACATAGAACATGGTTTGATTTTCATGTGGGTGCCGCCAAAACTAACATGTCTTATGTTTATTTTTTAACCTATAAGATTTTTATTATTCGCGTTTTCTTATGTCCCTTGATTATGAATATGTTGAATAAATGCTCAACAATAGACTCCAACGTTATGTTTGGCAAGATGAAATTGAAAGTATTGGGTAGTATTAACTAACAAAGAAGAAAATGAAGTTAATTTCTTGTTTATTGCTTGCGCCGATAGTCCATGGACTTTGGGAATTTTTTCTTCTACTAGCTTTGAATATTTGTAATATTATATCTTATCAGTCTAAGCTTTAACTTGATGTGGTACACGAGGGATATTGGTGATCAAACTATAGAATTATACAGGTTGATCAACAAAATCTCATAGCCGCAATCCGTGTAGGCACATAGTTGAAGTAAAGAATTATCTTAGGGATGTATGTAACGACCTTACAACATTTAAAGAATTGCTCAAAATATTAAGTTGTATTTGTCACCTTCAAGAGCAACATTCTATGGGATTATTACTTGAATATTGCAAATTGCCAACAACGTTTCAAAAACATTCAGTTAATAGCTTTGTTTTTGAGACACTATAGGAAAATAAATTCAAAAATCTAATTATTTTGAAGAATCTACTGAAGAGATATCTTAATATTAAATTAATTATTTTATTCTTCAAATCAAAATTAAGGTAAATGAAAAGATTTGCCTGTGAAGGGGATGTTTTTCCACTACAGTTATGTGGAGAAAGGCTACCGGAGTTGTATTACCTTTACTGCTGGGAAAGAGTCTCTTTAAATGCTTTCTTTTCTACCAGATAACATTTTAAATTCATGTGTTCTATATACGTGTATGGGAAAAACGCTTTGTTCATTCTTTTGTGATGCTTTACCAGAGTTGATAGCTGCAGATGTGCCCTGATGCACAGATTTTTCAAGGATTTCATAATTCCAAAATGCTTATGACAGTTTTTTGTTTTTGCTGGGTTAAGGTCAAAGGCTTTTCTTAGGTACCAAATATACAAGCTTTTTAGAGGCTTAAGTATCATTTATAGAGGACAATGTTTGTGCGCATTTTTTATATTCGTAAACAAGATGTTCGCATACCTAATTCATTTCACATTATATGAAAACACTCCATATTGTCTTATGAAATCTTCTTGCCTTGGATTTGCTAGCAAGACATTTGACATTACTCTTCTTACACAGTAAAATTTATCTTTGCTCAAGATTAAACAATATTCATTAATAGGTAATTATTTTTATTCTTTCATTAAGCTTCTATAATTGTGTAAAATAATTCCACGCTATTAAGTAGCCAACTACACTATGACACATGCATTGCATGTGCGCCTAACTAGTATTCTGGAAAAGGCACACAATGTGTTTACTATAATCATATTAGTTCTTTTCAAGTCACAAGTATTGGTCCATAAATAAAATTTTGTAACTCACAACGAGGAAGCATTGTCAGGGATAATCGTGGCAAATGTGTGCTGGTGATTTTCAATGATATCTTGTTTATAATTTCATTTGAATCATCAATATATATTAATTTAATCAAATTTATGTGTAGAATATGTATATATGTTCGATAATAAAATAATTCGTAAGTGTTGTAAGAATAAAATATTAAACACAATAACAGCAAAACCAAGCGCAAAGTCAGAAATTCAACGTTTCCAATCTTCGCAGCATCATGAATGTCTCTTGAATTAGTTTTGAAATGTAGAGTCTGGAAAAGTCACCGGCTTGTCTTCGTATATGAAGTGAACTATAAATTAATCTACTTTGCCAGAAGAAATTGTCTAGAAGAAATGCCACAAGATGAGTTGGAGGGAAATAATTGGATGAAAAAGCCGACTGTGTGTTAAACCGTCTAATGATAAAGTGACATGTGACATTATGTAAGTTATTATGTAAGCTTTGATATACATGTAGGAAGATTGGTGAACTATATATCCTTTTGAAACCTGGAATCTTCACTATATTAACAAACATTTGCACTACAAACCCCTAAATTTAGAAAAGCAAAATCTAAGAGTAAACTAAATTACTGAAGCAAAAATGAAATCAAACGATTGACATCAGAAGCCCAGACATGCAAACTGGCATTTCCTAGGAAGTTCTGAAGCTCGTCCAAATTTAGATCGAGTAGCCAATAATACTAGGTGGAAATAATAAGAACCTTAAGTATAGATACAAAAGATTAACATTACACTTACAAGAAGCATACATTCTCCATGGATCACTTCAATTCAAAAATATTATTATCATTCATTTAGTTGTAAGGTATGTAGAACAGCCTATCCAAAGGATTGATGCATATATATAATAATTTTAAATGAATAGTTTCACTTTCGCCTTTCTTTCCCATAATCAACTTTAAACTTGATATTCATGATACTTCATCCAACTGGGATATCCCAAAATTAGAGTCTACTTTGATAAGTAGACATATGTATTAACTGAATGAAATCAAAAGAAATGATCATGCATAAAAATCTCAAGGGTTATGCTACGTGTACATACTTTTTTACCTAATCTTTTGCACCCCACTCACATT